GCTCAAGGCTAGCACTCTAACACCTGAGCCACAGCGCTACTTCTGGCTTTTTCTGTTTGTGTGGTACTGAGGAATCAAACCTAGGGCTTCATGCATACTAGGCAAGCACTCTACCCCTGAGCCACCTTCCCAGCCCCGAGAATGTGTCTTTATTTGGAAAGGATGACTGCAGATAAAATTACTAAACATGAAGTCATAGAATACATCAAATCTGGTTTTCCTGAGACTCTCTTGTTTACTTTTGTGATACGGGGGACAGAGTATTGGCCTCAGAGCATGTACTTGCTAAGCCGGTACTCTACCCTGGAGTAACATCTCTTCAGTCCTATTTTACACTAGTCACACTTTTGCCAGACTTATGCCTGGATGGCAAACCTTCTGTTTTATGCTTCCCACTGTACCTGAAATGGTAAGTTTATGACCCTACATACAGCTTCTTTGAGATGAAGTCTCATGAACTTTTTTTTTTTTTTTTTTGGTCGGTTGTGAGGCTTGAGCTCTGAGCCTGGATGCTGTTGTTCCTCAGCTCTTCAGCTCAAGGCTCACACGCTACCACTTAAGCCACAGCGTCACTTCTGGTTCTCTGGTGGTTAATTGGAAATATGAGTCTCACAGACTTTCCTTGCCTGGGCTGGCTTTCAACCACAATCCCCAGCCTCCTGAATAGCTAGGATTATAGGTGTGAGCCACCAGTGCCCAAGCTTCACGAACTTTTCATTTTTGCCCAGGATGACCTGAACTATGAGCCTCACTGCAACTCCATCTCTGCCTCCCACACAGCTAGGGTAACAGGTGTGCACCACTATGCCCAGCTATTAGTATAAAGGAGATCTTGCAAACTTTTTCTGGTTTGGCTTCAAATCATGATCTTCTTAGCCAGGTACCAGTGGAGTTCATGCCTGTAATCCTATCTACTCAGGAGGCTGAGATCTGAAGATGGTGGCTCAAACCCAGTTGGGGTAGGGAAGTACATGAGACTATTTCCAATTAGCCACCAAAAAGTGGAGGTAGTACTCAAGCAGTAGAGCACTTACCTCAAGCAAAAAAAAATCTGAAGAATAGTGCCCAGACCCTGAGTTCAAGCTCCAGGACTGGCAAACAACAAGAACAAAACATAATCTTGACATCAACTTCCTGAGTAGCTAGGATTATAAATTTGACCACTGTGCTGGGCTTCTGAGACTTCTTACCCTAAAAAACTTTACCAGAGCCAGCCACTGGCGGCTCGTGCCCATAATCCTACCTATTCAGGAGGTTGAGATGTGAGGATTGTGCTTGGAGCCAGACTAGTCAGGAAAGTCACTGAGAATCCTTATCTCCAATTAACTACCAAAAAAGCCAGAAGTGAAACTGTGGCTCAAGTGACAGGGTGCTAGCCTTGAGCACAAAAACTCAAAGACAGCGCCAGGATCAGTACAAAAAAAATTACTAGTTCACTAAAATTATGTTTTCACATACACATACCAACAGAGGCTTAAAAGGGGGCTCCACCTTCCGAGCTAGAAGTTCTTCCCAGTTAATGTGTCTGAAAAATGGGTGAGCCTAGGAAGAAAGGATGGAAGAAAAATTACAAGGAATAGACTGCTGAAATGACAACCATACTTTTGAAGTTATAAATCACAAAATAAGACAAACTTATAAGCAATTACATATAATCCTCATAAGCAAGTAAAATTAGTAATATTTTTTCCCAAAACGCCAAATGTGCCAATCCCTACTTGAACTTCTCCAGCATCCCCAGGACCAGCTCCAAGGCGAGAAGCAGCATTCCTTTTCAGCAGCTTTAGGGAGGAAAAAAAGCACTGATAAAGACCTTTAGACAAGCTGGGCACTGGTGGCTTATGCCCGTAATCCTAGCTACTCAGGAGGCTGAGATCTGAGGATTGCAGTTCAAAGCCAGCCTGGGTAGGAAAGTCCATTACTTTTATCTCTAATTAACCACCAGAAAGCATGCATGAAGCCCTGGGTTTTATTCCTCAGCACCTCATAAACAGAAAAAGCCAAAAGTGAAGCTGTGGCTCAAGTGGTAGAGCACTAGCCTTGAGCGAAAAAGCTCAGAGACAGTGCCCAGGCCCTGAGTTCAAGCCCTATGACTAACCAAAAAAATAAATAACTAACTTTAATGAAGCTGTTTTTTTTTCCTGCATATACTTTGTTCATCTATTCTGTCTTTAAAAATGCAATGAACTCTTACAAAATGCTTCAGAACAAAAACAATACCTTTAAATTTTTATTAAGTAGTTGTACAAAGAGGTTACAATTCCCTAAGTAAGGTTATAAGTATAATGCATCTTGATCAATGTCACCGCTTTCTTTGTTCTACACCACTATCCCCCTCTTACCCAATCTTTAAATTTGTACTTTGTGTTTAAAACTGCAGGTTCAATTGGATGCTGGTGGCTCCTAACTGTAATCCAAGCTACTCAGAGATTGGGATGCATGAGGTTCCTGGTCACCTTGGTCAGAAAGTTAGTCAGATTCCCATCTCAAACAAAAATATGTGCCTGTCACTTCAACTACGTGAAAAGCATAAGAAGGATGGCAGGCAAGGTTAGCTGGGTAGAAATTCAAGCAATTTTATTTAAAAAACTAATAACAACTAAAGAATAAAGTGCTAGGAGTATAGGTCAAGTGGCAGAGCAACTGTCTAACAAGGCCCTGAGAGTTCAACCCCCAAGTACTGCCAAAAATAAATAAATAAATTGCAAACTGGACACTGGTGGTTGATACCTTGCAATCCTAGCTACTCAGGAGGCTCAGATCTGAGGATTACAGTTCAAAGCCAGCCCCAGAAGGAAAAGTCCATGATACTCTTATCTTCAATTAATCACTAACTACTAGAAGTGGAGCTGTGGTTCAAGTGTTAGAATGCTTGAGCAAAAAAATTCAGGGACAGAACTCAGGCCCTGAATTCAAGTCCCAGTGCTGGAAAGCACACACACCAATTTACATACTTTGTGTATTTTGGTCCTGGGGCTTGAACTGAGCACTGTGGATGAGGTTTTGTGCTCAAGACTAGGGCTCTACAACTTAAGCCACAGCTCTACTTCTAGCTTTTTTGATGGTTAATTGGAGATAAGAGTCTCAACTGTCTTGACCAGGGGGGCTTTGAACCATGATCTCAGATCTTAGCCTCCCAAGTAGCTAGAATTATAGGTTATAGGTGTGAGCCATCAGCACTCAGGTGCAGGTTTTTGTTGTTATTGTTTGTTCAATATATAGCTACGAGATTCTCTATTCAAAATATATTTTTAAAAATTATATTTATATATAAAATATTTTATATTTATATATATATATTTATTTATATTACAGTTTATATACTGGGTGCTCATTTAAAGAACCTACCTTTTTGAGGAGATCTCTAGCTTCTTGTGTGAGGTAGGGAGGCAAATTAAGTTTACATTTGAGGATTTTGTCAATTGTTTTCTTTCTATTCTCCCCAGTGAAAGGAGGCTAAAGGTAGAAAAGAATGAGGACAATTAGGATCTAAAACACAAATTTAATAGTGTTATCTACTTCAATGTATTCAGATCAGACATGCATGCTGTGAATTGAGCTAATTAACAAAGAACTGTAGCTGGGCGCCAGTGGCTGACGCCTATAATCCTAACTACTCAGAAGGCTGAGATCTGAGGATCGAGGTTCAAAGCCCCAGGACCAACAAACAAAAAACAAAAACAAAGAACTGTAATTTTTTTTTGGGGGGTGGGTCAGTCATGGGACTTAAACTAAGTGCTGTCCCTCAGCTCTTGAGCTCAAGGCTAGCGCTCTACCATTTGAGCCACAGCACCACTTCTGGCTTTTTCTGCTTACGTGGTACTGAGGAATCGAACCCAGGGCCTTCTGCATGCCAGACAAGCATTAAACCACTGAGCCACCTTCCCAGCCCTATCTATTTCTATTATAAATATCAGCAATCAATAACCAGCTAGGAACTGTAGTTTTTAAGCACTGGTAGAGAGGAATTAGCAATTCCTGGTTTCTATTTACCAGGCATTATGATTTCAAGAGGACTGTGATATTGTTTTCATTTTTCCTTTTTTAGATAAGTGTATCATTTATCCTCTATTGCACACAACTGCCAGGACATAGATTATTTAAGTAAAAAATATTTTTTTGGGTTCTTTTTGGGTCCAGTCACGGGGCCTGAACTCTAGGCCTGGGCGCTGTCCCTCAGCTCTTCAGCTCAAGGCTAGCACTCTACCACTTGAGCCACAGCACCACTTCTGGCTTTTTTTTCCTGCTTACGTGGTGCTGAGGAATCGAACCCAGCCTCATGCATGCAAGGCAAGCGCTCTATCACTGAGCCACCTTCCCAGCCCGAAAAAAAAAATTTTTTTAAGCTTAGTTTGATGGTTTATGCCTATAATCCCAGCTACTTAGGAGGCAGAAACAGAAATATCTCTGAACAGCGTTTGCCAAACGAGAAAGTACAAGATTCTGGGGCTGGGAAGGTGGCTCAGTGGCAGAGCGCTTGCCTTGCATGCATGAGGTCCTGGGTTTGATTCCTCAGTACCATATAAGCAAAAAGAAAAAAGCCAGAAGTGGCGCTGTGGCTCAAGTGGTAGAGTGCTAGCCTTGAGCTGAAGAGCTGAGGGACAGTGCCCAGGCCCAGAG